TAAGTTTTTCGATAATGTTTCTGTTTGAATTAAATTTCCTTTGGCTCATTATGTCATGCTCTATTTGTAGGCTCTTGATAAGATTAGATTTGAGAGTTTGATTGACAAGAGCAAGCTCGATGGTCAGCCAGAGCTCTTTGTCCACTTCATCCCCGACAAAAACAACAATACCTTGACTATTATTGATAGTGGTATTAGAATGACCAAAGCTGGTAAGGTATACAATTTGTTATCTTAAGTGGTATGAACAGTTGTTATACATATTTTCAGTAACAAAGCGTGCTCTATATTTTGCTCTATATATAGCTATGTACTTGAAGTTTATGATATGCATAATGTCACATCCCGGGTCAATGTGGGACGTTACAATCCACCCCCCTTAGGGGCCCGACGTCCTCATCAGCACACTCGCACCACACGGCAGAGTGACTCTGATACTAAATGGTCACATACAGGGATCAACTCCACCGTAGCATGATATTGTCCTCCTTGGGCCCCTCTCTGCCCTCACAGTTTTGTTTCTGGGAAATAACGAGCAACTTCTCAGTGGGTCACACATCCTGGGATTGCTCTAACCTCAACTCGCTTAACTTCGGAGTTCTCATGACTCCAAAGCCAGTGAGCTCCCAAAAGGCCCCGTGCTAGATGGAGGCAGGCATGTACATATAAAGCATATCACTCATTCTCTGTTGGTCGATGTGGGATGTTACACAGAATGTGATTTTTACTAGGAAGATAGTTCTATGACATAGTATTAACAGTGTTTTTTTTTTCCCCTTGTAGAGGTATTTTCATTTGTCTTTGTGATTGTTTTGTTGAAATTGTGGACAATTGGAGTTGGTTTTTGCAAAGGATATCAGATGTCTTGATGGGCTTCTTTGGGTTTTTTATATATAGTTTTTTGTATGAAATGGTATTAATAATTTACTTTTATAACATGGTATTAACAATGTACTTCGGGCTTCTTGGGCTTGTTTTGCCTTTTTTGTGTTGGGCTTGTTTTAAGTTAATGAGTGGCAGTCATGTAATTTATAGGAACTTCAACACTTATTTCTTATGTAGTAAATGGTTTTTGGGTATGTTTCTAAAGTGCATTCCATGTGGAGGTTTTTTTTTTTAATTTATAGTTTCAGCCCCTATTTTAGGTATATTACTAAAGCTCCCTATTTAATTCTCATATACTCAGTTTAGTAATATTATAAATGAAAATGTCGCATATTTGGGTTAGATAAGTTGGTAAGGGCAGTGAGTTCATCCCCTTGCACCCACGTTCGAATCACTCTTCCTGTAAATTAGATTAATTTAGACTAATAATTTTTTTATTCTTTTAAAAAAAGATAAACTTAATATCGTATACATTACAATCACTACTTCCTCTAAGACGAGGGTTTGTGTATTTTCGTGGTCCAACCACATGGCTCCAAATCAAATTAACGTTTGGTTTATTTACAATTCATATATTATGACATATGGAGAAAAAAACTAGCCAACATTCTTGTTTTAACCAAAATTAAAATATCAAACAAGTGTGGGACATCCGTTTCATAGAACGGCTATAGGTAAATTTTTCTTGTTAGACGGAATATGTGACTTCTTAAAGAGAACTTACCTTCAATGAGAACATGACAATATTCATGTGTAATCATGGACTTTGTGTTTTGATGTTGATCCACCATGGCATTTCTATTATGTCCATCCAAATTTCTATGACGTGACTTGCATATGGTCAGTTTTTGAGAATGAGTCCAAATATATATATATATATAAACATTTTGAAATGGTTAATGATTCCATGTTGGTTCAAAATAGCTTTGATCAATTATTGAAAAAATTAAGGTCAAAAATTGCTCCTGAGCAGATGTATGTTGTTGGAAACAAAAGATTATCAAAGAAGATATGCATTTCTAGTTTGCTTGAATGCACTGGGGACATTTCATACATGAATTGTAAGAATTGTCTTCGCATTAGAATAAGAAAACTTCAAAATTATAATCATGAAACGAGAGGTGGACATGCTATTTATAGAAGTTGTTACATAATGTTTGAATTTTACGGCTTTTACGGCTTGTAAAAGTTAGCACTCATAGCCTTAAATCTAGGGTAATTAAAATAATAGGAGGTCTTCCAATGTAATTCTCGTATCGTTCTTAATGACTGGCACAAGCTTTTAACAATATAAATCGAATTGGCAATTAAGCTCTCGTTATCCCTTTATACACATGGTTTACATTAGTCATGATAAGAACCCAAACAGATTACCTACTTCGATTAGCATTTTTAATGACTTTTTACATAACAAAAAGACATACTTCGATTTCATAATGGACCAACCAAAAGCACTTCTTTAGAAACAATGACACACTTCGACTTCTGCCTACTTCATCTGTTGTTAGGTGAATCCATCTCTTTTTTTTTTTTTTTTTTTTACAACAAAAAAATAAAAATAAAAATAAAAAAGAAGGGTTTGCCGACTTTGTGTGTGTTTATTTATTTATCCCTAACATATTCTCTGACATGGTCTTCTTTATGCAAAAGTCAATGATACTCATGTCGTCTTTCTCATCATATAACATCTAAAATCCAAATAGACAATGCATTCTCTCCAATGTCGCCATCTTCCATTCATTTCGTTAAATAAGATTGAAGTGTTTAAACTAAATTAGAGAGCCATAAATAAGATTAAAGTGTTTTAACTCCATGCACCCCTTTCATCTTTTACTTCGCTCCCACATGTTTTACTTAAATCACTAAACACTTGCCTTATCTTTCAAAGTAACATAAATTTCTTATCTAATTATTAAAAAAATATTTCCTTACTTACTCATTGTACATGAGAAAAATCAAAGATGATGCTTCATAAAGTCTTGTATGCTTTTAAAAATTCTAAATGTCATTATGAAGAAAACTCTACATATGTATGTAAATATGTATGACCCTTTTTTTTCATGTTATTCTTTTGTTTTTAATGGAACAAATGAAGTGTGATATCCTGTCAACTATACATAAAGCTACAATTATGGTCAACATAGTCTACTCTAGTAGAAAATAGTCTTAACTTGCATATCAACGGTCTCAAGTTTAAACCCATGTGACATATTGGTAGTGTGTGTGTGTGTGTGTGAGAGAGAGAGAGAGAGAGAGAGAAATTCTCCCTCCCCCAATATTGCATGTGTAACTCTCCAATGAGAAATGATTTAAAATTTGAATTTCTTATGTATACACATATGGAGCAAACATGACTCTTTATTAAACGAATTGGCCAAATCATGAATTAGTATATAAGTAGTATGTTATAATCATAAAGCAAAACTAACAAGAACCTCTAATTATATTATGGCATGTATACCACTACGACTCTAGCAAAGTGTAATACATATATCATACAATTCTTTAAAACTTAACTTGCACACAATTACATGTGTTTTAAGAGATATTTACTACAGAAAAAAATTAGGCATGGTCCCACTGTGTTAACAGGATCTATCTTAGTGAAAAAGAATTTTTATTGGTAAGTAAGTGATATTAGGTTCAAACTCATTTGGCACCTTGATAGTGTGTGTGAGAAATTCCCCTACTCTCCCAATATGGTTGGTATAAAAAAATATGGTCCCACTACAAGCTTGATCCGAGTATGATGAAGTTCCCTAATTGGATTTTCAATTGACTTTTAGCAATCATTTTGTTCCTCTTTCTATGCAAGTGTATATTACATTTATCTTTTCTTTTCTAGAAGATAAAAGTCTAATGACACACTTTTTCCTAGAACCTGGACTTGGTACAAATTCAGATTTTGATAGTTCTTATCTCACATTGATGTCAAACATCAATCTCTCTTATTAAGGCTCATATTATCAATTTAGTGATAGTGAAATGAATTTTTTTTCTTTCCATATTTGTATTAAAGATAACTTAACAACATGTACATTACAATCACTAAGTGTTCCACTAAGACAAATTGCAATAATAGAGATTGTTAACACTAAGATACGAGCATCTCCACAAGAGTCTCTAAATTTTAGGTAAAATAGCTAGAAAGTCATTATAACAAACTACTTAAAAATAGTTTCCTTTAGCAATGTTCTCTACTTTGGCTAATTTCTAATATTTTATTATTTCTCTATGCTACTCTCTAAATTAAAAATTCATTAAAAAAATCAAAAAGTAAGATGCGAGAGAGGGTTGTGTGCCTGGGGAGAGATAAGAGGAAGAAATGGAGCCCTCAATTTCTCTCTCCAAACTCAAATAGGGAGTTCTTCAAGTAGTGAGCCAAATAGCAAGTTTATTGGAGCTGCGTTTTGCCCTCATTTTAGCCAAAATGGCTAAAAATAAGAGTATAGCAATTCTGTTTTAGATGCTCCCATATTATAGAGAACATGAATTGTGTGTATTTCTTGAAATTAGCCAAATGTATAATGTGTTCTTGGTGTTCCACTTCTTGCAACAAACCAAAAGTCCTTACAATGTCCCCAATACAAGTTCTTGATACCCACCAAATTGTTATTGACTTGACTTTACATCCCTCTTACACTTGGATTGAAGGCCCAGCTGCCTTATAGGCCAAGACAGACAAATCTAGTGCGATCTAGTTGCCTGGAATGAGACACCAAAATCCATTAGGAAAACCAAACGAAGATAATAGAGTAAGTCTAGAAAAGAAAAGATAAATGTAATATACACTTGCAATAGAGAGAGGGGATCAACAAAAACCAAACGAAGCTTCCCAAAAAGAAAACAAAAGAAATAAACAATCAATTTATTAGCCAACTCTCTCTGCTCACGCTTGGGACTCATGAGTGGCTTTGTCCGCTGCTCCCAAAGCTCCCTCTTCTTTTTATGAGGTACTCTTTCGTCCGCTTCCTAGTCTGCTTCTGTACAAGTACGACTAAATCTCACAGTAGTTTAGAGTAAGTCTAAATTTTGAAGAGAGAGCTAAGCTTTGCTTGCTGGCTAATCCCATGTGACTCAATTTTTCTAACAGTACTTTTTAGTATACCATTTTCGCAACTTGCAAGCAGTCAATGCTTTTTCTTTTGCTGAAGCTACTTCTCTGCTGCAACTTTTGCTCTCAGTCATTTTCTTATGACAAAAGTAAACAGTTTTATACCCGAATGGTGGAGATAGGCAAAGCACTTGTCCAAGATACTAAAAGCTAGCGACTCTACAAAAAGAACCGTCCATACCCACAAGGCTCCATGGATCTCACAAGCCCCAGATGCTTTCAAGCTCCATCTTTTATCTCATCTAGTGGGGTAAAGATAACACATTTGGTTTTTCTGTTCTTTTGCTCTTTGGTTTTGTTTTTTGTGTGCTCAAATGGGTTTTAATTAGTCTTTGTTGTTTTCTGTTCTTTCTTGTTGTTTTGGGTGTTTGTGATTCAGGAACCGCCATTAGAGGGCAGTACAAGCTTCTACGGGAAAAGTAAAACCAACCCATTTGCAGACGCCTTCCCTGATCCTCTGTGCAAGCTTAATCTCAAAGAGACCTCTGAGTTTGTCAAGTCATTCCCAGTACCAAGCAATGCCAGCTCAGAAGGCAACAGAGGTTTTCTTGACACTTCAGCTCAGAGGAGGGAGGGAGTGAGCTCTGTCACACAGAGGAGATTGGAAGCTCCTCCTACTCCTGGAAGACCTGTTTTCAGCTTCAGTGTTGGGAATTTTGCAAGAAAGAGCTTTCCTTCAAAGTGGGATGATGCAGAGAAGTGGCTCATCAGTACCTCTTGCCATGACTCTCCTGCTCACACCATAAAGCCATCAGCAGACTCCACTAAGATTGTTAATGCCAACCAAGGTGACAACTTTAAGCAACAAATGGAGGTGTTTGCTGAAAAAACAAGGGTCGCAGAGGAAAAAGTGTCAAAGACAGTCTCAAGCTTTCAACGCTGTGCCTCTTTGAACAATCATAACTCTGGCAAAGCTTTCAATAGGGTCTCAACCTCAACTGATGTACTTCTAAAAGGTACAATCTTTATTTGAACTTTAATCTTTAGTGGAACCTTGACCTGTTTGCTTTATGTATCCCGTTGCCCCCTTGTTGTGCCACTATCATCTTCCCCTCTCTTTTTTTCTTTAAAACTTGATTATATTTTCAGTTTTTCCTCTACCGTCTGATTATGGTCCCTGATTGTATTAAACAATGTAGAATCTAGTTTCCAATTTTGCATGTATTCGTTTGCTGTGTATCTTTCGAACACTGGGAAACACAACCATGGTTCTAGTTTATTAATAAAGGCTCACTATCTTTTTAGTCTGCATCTCTTTATGCAAGAAACCTGTCTTTAGACCTTTTAGCTGAAACATTTACTGTTACATTGGAATTGCATCATTTTAATTATAACCCAAAATATTTTTCAAGTTGGAGCTAGACTTGCAATTCCAAGATAACATGATACCTAGAACTGAAATTTGAGTTTTGTTTTGTGTAGATAAGTTTGTGGACGATATAGAACGAGTTTTGCCCAATTCCAGGTACTTAGAGCCAACCAAAGAAGGCTTTCTATTCAAAAACTCAGCTTGTGAAACCATGAAAGACGCAGGCACAGAAGAGGTTCATCATCTACAACATCGAGATGTTGGGACAGAGATGACGCCTCTTGGCAGTTCGACAACTTCAAGGTGCCACACACCATTCAAGTGCTCGTCGCCCGCGCGCCATAATACTCCTGCAAATCGGTCAGGGCCATTGGCTTTGGGGTACTCTAGCAGCACTAATAACACCATTGACATTGCCCAGTTGCAGGAGTGCCTTGGGACACAATATGATTCAACTGCATCGAATTGGAACTCAAGGGAAGAGGAGGAAGTGGAAATATCAAAGAGCTTGAGACATTTCGAAACAAGCCATCCATGCCGTGAAAGTATTTCTGAATCTAGAGCTGCTGCCTGGGAAGAGGATGAAAACAACAAATGCTGCCTTAGGTAATTGGATTACTAAGTTTGACCACATATTGTTTCAAATGATAGATTTGGTTTTAAATGCATTTTGAATGTGCAGGTATCAGAGAGAAGAAGCCAAAATCCAAGCCTGGGTCAACCTCCAAAGTGCAAAAGCAGAAGCTCAGTCAAGAAAGCTTGAGGTACTTTTGTCATCTCTTTTTTTTTCCATGGTGGGCTCTTATCCCAGCAGGTTTTTGTTCTTTAACCAATTATTGCTTTTGCATGGCAATAGAAATGCAAGTACATAAACATGAGATTTATACTCTTTTTTTTATTCAAACATTATTCATAAGCCTGAACCGCCATGACCTAACAATCAGCATAGAAGATTATCAGTCTTTTGATTTCAATTCATATTGCACATTTGCTGTTATGTCATCAAACACTTTAGTGTGATATATTTTGCTGAAGACACCTCATCTTATTTGCTGTGTTAAAATATTTAGAGCAGGAAACTAAGTGGCTGCATTGTCAAACCGCACGTGCTAGCAAACTGTATTTTATTGGTTCTGGTTGGAATGCTTGATGGAGCTTATTGTTGTCTTCCTCCTTGAGCCACCCGTCACTCTTGGACACCATTCTCCTTTTGTTTTCTAGACTGGACCACCTCTATTGAAGTGTCTTGCTTAATATTATATAATTTTTTACATACCAAACTCTCACAGAAATTAGAGAGAAAGCTAGAAGTCTTCATCCTCACATTTTAATACTAGCAATCCCATGTGAAGTAGCAGCATTTAGAAATCCATGGGGAACTGGAGTATTTAATTGAGTTGGATACCAGTCATGCTTGGAAGCTTGGTTTTTTGTTCTTTAGTGGTTGATGAAAAGAGCACTGTTTTGGTGTTTTCCGCTCTTCTTTTCACTTGAAATTTCTTTTGTAAAGCCAAATGGAGTTACCCACATGCATGCTTTTGTAGTTTGGCAGATACACGTTTGTTTATTTATTTGTTTTTTTGGGGTTTTAGGTGAAAATACAGAAGATGAGATCAAACCTGGAGGAGAAGTTGATGAAGAGGATGACAATTGTGCATAGAAAAGCTGAGGAATGGAGAGCAACAGCAAGGCAGCAACACTCTGAACAAATTAACAAGGCCACAAACAATGCACAGAAGATGATAAATAGGCATAACCCTCATTTTTCTGGCCACATTTCTTGCGGCTGCTTCCCTTGCAATACCCATTAACCAATCATGAAAAACAAAGAAGGAAAATTGCATAGAAAATGTTCCTTGCTGTGTACTTCTAGCCTCATAATGAAACCAGAAAAAGAAACAGCAGTTATGGCAATTTTTTTCTCTTTTTGTTACAAGGGGAATCAAAAAAATGGAATTTACCTTTCACCAATCTCATCCATGTAACTAGAAGGTACATGACATGAAGTTTCAATCCAAAATATAAATTAAAACATGTTGATGCGAAAAAATGGTCGAACACTTTTTGGCAAGATGGATACAAAGAAGGTTCTTTAATGCTTAAGTTAGTAACAAGTACAAAGTAAATAGTGATCTGAACAAAGTTATGGCTAATTAATCAAATGTCACAATTACCTTGTTTTGGGGACTAGTGCCCCTTTTTATAGATTTTGGAAGATGTGCATCTTGGGTGAGATTTCAATGTGAGACTGTGGGCATCGCCTGAGGAGACGTCACGTGTCCTTGTGAGAAATCTCTAATGAAGCAAGATTTTTAGCCATGATCGGCAGGCTAGGTTGTCGAAGGCTCACAACCTGCCAATGGTATTTCGTGAGACGAAATAGATTGCCTAGATTTAGTAAGTCCATTGTGGGTCCCCAATTCCACATGTCATTTTTTGGTTGGCTGGTCAAATATGGTATAAACAAAATAGGATCTAAATTATTGAAGAATGTAAGTCTTATATCCGAAACTTGACTAAATAAAATAAGGAGTTGATTTCCCCACTCCATTTTCTTCACTTACACTCTCTTTTGTTTTTTAATACTTTTTAATTAATTTTGTTCTTTATCTTTCCTATTCTATCCTTACCCTACATTAATTTTTTTTTACTTGACTTTTATATTATTTCTTTTTCTTTATACTTAATTTTCCAACTTACACTCCATTTTCAATATTAAAGGGGAAAAAACACTTAATTTCTTACTCGATTAAAGGGAAAAAAAATACTAAAATGAAGTGCAAGTTGGAAAATTAAGTATAAAGAAAAAGAACTAATATAAAAGTGAAGTAAAAAGAAATTAATGTAGGATAAGGGTAGAATAGGAAAGAGAGAGAACAAAATTGATTAAAAAGCAAAAGGAAGTGAGTGGAGAAAAGGGGAGTGGAAAAATCATATCTCATAAAATATAACATAAAATGAATGGTTCCACTATTAATATCACCGAAGACTTTTGTGATAAAATCTCATATTTATTGGACTTTATAAGTGATTAAATTGAAGACAACATTAATATTCCTAATAGACCGTCTCTCTGCAATTTAACATAAATAAAAACCTGTATAAAAAAGATCACATGTGATTTCTTTCAGAGCAAACGTCTGAAGCCTGCAAAACAGTGCAAGCAGATCTGTCCCGTGCTTTCTCTGTTGTCTTTTTATCCCAGCATCTGAAACCCAACATTTTCTTTCCTCTTCTTGTTGTTGGAACTTGGAAACTGGAACTCGGGACCTACCCATCCGTCCATGCAGGAGTGATGAGGGCTTTACATGTGGCAGTGAAATTAACAGACTCATTTACTTCATGACCAGCTAAAAACAACAACAGCATGCTCTGAACAAGAAGAAAAGCATACTTTAGCAAGAAAGATGTCCATAATTTGATAAAAGCTGCACTGTTTTGGCCAATACCGTTTGTCTATATATCACCCACCAACTATTATATCAACTTTTGGACATCAAAATGTGTCCAACAGTTGGCAAAACTTGGTCCTCCTCTTGTCACTCTTGCAAAAGGCAGCGACTCTTAAAGTTCTTGGGGAAGTTTTTTGGGGGTAAACTTGTATGGGATTGTAGGTGGTATTTGTTGGACCACATGGAATCCATAATAGAGTCTGACTAAGATCAACACCAGAAAACAGTGGGGCATTATAATTTGAATGCAATGAGCAGAACCTCTGGAAAAGTCATATAATGGTGGTAGAGACGTGTTCCATTTAATTGGTTTGTATAAAGGCTACTGAGTCAATAATAGCATTCATAGCCATAAGTAACCAAACCCATCCCACCCCCTCCCCGCCTCTCAAAAAAAAAATTGCAGAAAACAACTCAACTTTAAGGATGTGATGTTTTTGTTTTTATTTTGAATGCAAGCAACTTCAAAGTCATTTTCCACTCCCTGTGTGGCAAAGATGTGATGTTTTAATAAAAGATGAGATGTTCTAAGCAACCCTTACTTTTGAAGATTGCGACCTAAGTGAATATAATCATGGAAGATGAAAGAGACCAGTCACCAACCACCACCCTTGGCCTTGGCTTTGAAAGCAATGTGTGGCCATGAGAAACTATCTGAATCCATCCACACTTACATGGGCAACAGAAAATGTTACCTGGCCTGCCAAATTGCTTAAACCATGTAAAGTTGAAGCATTTCAAATTCCAAAAACTAAAAAGGACCAAAGTTTAATCCTTTTTATTTGTTGATATACTCGATGTTATTTGCAACCAATGCTTGGTAGAACAGGGTCAATTTTGAGGGTGGTGTAGCTGCTTAAATCCAAATCAAAAACAATTGCACAACTTGATGCCGTTCAAACCTAAAGCCTTGTAAGAAAAGATGTTATTCTCATCACATGTACTACGACTGTACCCAAACATGTTTATCCTCCACAAAAATAAAGGATCATAAAGGCTTCACTCAAATGTTCGTCTCCTTTAAATGAATGTCTGCTACATCGCTTATCCTGAAAGACCAAACTGGGAATTTTCTAGTCGCGAAACTCGTCCATGAATGACTTGTGGAAGTCTGTCAGACGGGTGACGATGGCTGGAATTTTATCCTCTTGAGGCAATATTGTGCACCTAAAATGCCAGGTGCCAGGAACCTGTCACAGTGGATTGAAATGTAAACAATCTTCAGTTTAAAATAAAATTATGAAAAATCAAACCAAAAGTATGTCTCACACTATCTTACTGACGTTCACAGAATCTAAAACAACAAAATTAAGTATTTGTATACACTTCATATTTTTGTTTAACTAAATCTGATCCTATTCAATCACCAACTTTGAGGGGACCATATTTTTCATCCCTTAGCACGCTAAAGATTTAAACATTCCACTGTTATGAATGTGGTTCACTTATCATTGCTGATTAGAATTATAGATGCCAAACAATTAATATTGTATGACCACTTGATCTGCTGCAAATTATTTCAAATTTAGGTCAACAACCATTTCCTGCACACTAAGAAACAGTACCAGAAAGAATTAGATAAAACTAACCTGCCCAAAACCAGAACCAGGAACAACCACGATTCCTGTGGCATTGAGAAGGCGGCGACAGTAGAATGCATCTGGAGCTGTATTTGCTGCCTCTGCTGCTTTAATTGCCTTTTGAGGCAGGTTTATGCGGGGAAAGAGATACATTGCCCCTTCTGCTCTGTTGCATGTCACACCCTCTAAGTTGTTCAACGCATCTTCTAAAGTCTGTTTTAAAAAATACAATTAATAGAATAAAAACAAAATATGGGAGAAATGAAGCATAATCAGTCCTGCTATTGAGAAAGATCAACAGAAAATAATATCACGTTATTGTGTTACCATTTCATACTACTAAGTACCAACCTTTGCACGCCTTGCTAGGGATGACAGGATTCCATCTTTCTCTGCACAATACAATTCATAGGATTCATCTCCAACCTGCATTCAACCATGAAACTTCCTCCGTGGGAAAAATGATCCAGATGATAATATCAAAGAATATAAACTTATTCGATCTACCAATTTTAAGACCGAGTTTCCAAATCCTTATGCCCTGTGTAACGAAGTTAAGGGCAATAACAAAGAAAAATGTACTCCTCCAAAGGCCCAATTGTACACTAAAGGAAGCACTAATGAACATGGTCAAATCAATTCTGACTTAGATGTTTGAAAATTTATTAGTCCAACTAGCTAAAAAGGCCTCAAAACTATCACAAGTGAATGCCGACTGGTTTCAAACTAGAAGATGCCTGTTTCCACTTCTGAGGTTCCAACATTTTAACCTACTGTCAAATCGCTTGCTAGGTCCTACTTTAAGATACTTGAGCATGTTTGATCCTCAATTCTAAACCCATTGTAAATTTCTATGAAAAAAGTAAATACAACATTATTTAAAGAGAGAAAAATGACCTTTGGTGGACTCATGACAAGGCTTGCAAGAATTTGACCAGAGATGTTAGAACAAAGATTCACAGATGCCACTTTGTATATTTGTTCCCTTACGTCAGGACTGATACCAGTTACTTCCATGTAACCGCCTCTTTTTCCACACTCCCCGTAGTACCCTACATCCAAAAAAGAAACAATGATAAATTGTCCCAAATTCATTGATTTTCATGAGCTATTCTCTTTCCATCATGACAGCATAAGAACCCAACAAATTACCTTTAGATACTGATTGAAATGATACCAAAGAAATATCCTTTTCGCCATATCCCATAGACCGGGATACCTTCTTGAATGAATGAAACTCCTTATCAGGTACATAAACATTTTCTTGATAAACCTGTATAAAATACACTGAAAATATTAGCCCATAAAGTACCTATAGAAGTTTCTGATTACAATTACAATGCTCCAACAATGTTGCATAGTAATTGAAGTTAATTATCCAAAGAACAATCCGTCTACCTCATCTGCCAGCAAAACAAGACCTTCTTGCTTGCAAAATTCCACAATCTGCCGCTGGTTGTCCTCAGCAAGCACCTGCAGACAAGATACCAAAACACTCAACCAATGACTATTCTAGATTAAACACAAGCTTCTCTTCCAATAGCAACCCCTTGAGAAAACTCTTTTATCGACAAAGATTTTGAAGGTCAAAAAGCAATTCATAACTCACCTGCCCTGTTGGGTTGCCTGGATTTATAACAACCAAGGCCCTTGGGTTGATACCCTTGGACCTTGCGTCCTCCAATTGCTTCTTCAACTCAGAAGTTTCCAATCCCCACCCTGATGCCTCATCAAGGAAGTAAGGAACCTGCATACATCAGACCACAGATTTGAATGTTCTTACAACGTTAAATGGTATATAAAAGCGAATTATTTTCCAACTTCTAGTTTCTAGCAGTCATGTAACGTCCTTTTTTTAAATAATCAGGCAATTCACTATTCAGTTCAATAAAAACTCGAGCTTTATCCAATAACAAGTTAGTGCTCGAGTATAAATGCCAAACATTTTATATTTATTGACATTGAGCATTTGAATAAATCTCTTAAAATCCAGACATACCAGTGTACCACCGTGGAGGGCAATTGAAGCAGAGTACAAAGGGTATTGAGGAATGGGACAAAGAATCCCATCCTGCTCTGAGCTTATCAGCAATTGCATCATCATATGGACCTGGCAAGAGAGAAATGGGCATGATGTGTTATGAGTGGTGCGATGTGCAACTTAACATATTCGGGAACATTGGGACGTCACTAAAATTGAACAGAATGGAAGTCAGGGCATACCGCAGGGCTTGCACCATCTGTTAAGAAAATATCATTTGGATCAGCAGGATATCCGTCACGAGCTTCAATTCCAGCAGATATTGTATCACGTAAACCCTTGATACCCTGATGCCAAAGTGGGCGAAGAGGGGCAGTGAGTCATATGTCATATCACTTATGAGTTCTGCATAAGTTTTACAAATTTCTGTATGGGATCATTACCTGACTATGACTGTATGCACCAGTTGCTCTTCCAGGAATTTGATCTAGAATCTGCCATGCCCGCTCTATTGCATCTGCACTGCAACAGGTAACAAAGATATCCACATAAAGATAAGATTTAACTTCTAGGAAGACTTTTCTATGGATTCCTAGAGGATTGTAAGGCAGCCTAAAATATTTGACCTTATATGTTATACATGCAAATGATATAATGGCAAATTTTTTATGTTCACAAATCCAATTAAACCAGTCACATTATCTTCAGATGGATTTTAATCGCAGTTCATCTAAGAATCAGCCAAGCAGATTGCATAAAAATTTCCAATACCTGAATAGACCCTGTGTTTCGCTTTTGTCCAAGATGGATGGATGGTCACATAATGCAAGAACCTGACACAATGATTATAACAATTAAGGATTGCATGAGATGCTGTAGCATTATTTGATATCTACCATGTAGTCCAACAATAAACCAACCTCTCTGAAAAAGGTTATTGGATGCTGACCAAGAGACTGGGGATTTCCAATGTTGCAGTAAAGTATCTGTATAACATATAATTGAAAGTGAGTACCCAAGTGACAATGCCCTAAAAACTAGAGAGTCAATATGGAAAGCAGTAACTCATCAAAGGAGAAAGAAAACACACCTCATCAAAGGGATGAGAGCCTGGATTAGCCAGTAATTCTTCTTGTAACCTCTGTGACAGGAGGATATAACAAAGGAGATTATGATAAAAATAAGAAAAATTACTTCACTGAGATTCAGGCATTAAATTTTCGATATAGTCATGTACCTGGGCAAGGGTGACAATTTCACCCCGGACAGCATATTCACATTTCAAAATCTGTAAGACACAGAAAGTTAGTAGTGCGGAGTGAGCTGGCCAATGAATGATAAATGGAATAGAAGATGTCCACAATTACTAGTACTTGACAGTGAGAAATAAAAACTAGAGGAACGAACCAATTAACTTACAAATTCTATAAATAAATCAAAATCAAAGTAATCCAATCAGAATGACCCAAATATGAGTGATCAGTCAGATGAATTTATCCAAAAAAAGAACTCGGGTCAAAAATAAAGAGTCAGTGGTGTCACAATTCCTGGCTACTTGTGTGGGTTGAAATAAAAATAGAAAAATAAATAAAAATCAACCACACCATACAACCCATCAATCTTTCCTTTGCTTTTGGGAAAACATGAAAACTAAAGCCAAAGAAAGGAACTACTTTGCATTAAATCCCAGGAGACAAAACAACAAACAAATCAAAGCAGCCCAGATGCAGAAACATCAAATCAAACACCTTTGACCATCTACACGGACAATCAAACAGTGAACAGATTATCAAATATACGCAAAAATAAACAGGAATAAGCAGAAAAACAACAATAATAAATAGGAATAAGAAGAAAAACAGCAAAGATAAACAAAATAACAAAAACCCATCTCAGGAAAAAGCACAAACCTTGGGATTTATGTTCTGAAGAGTGACAGGGAGTTTGGAAGCAGAGGGGTCAGCCATGGAAGAAGTAGAAGAAGGAGGGAAATCTAGGACTGGAGTAGAGGAAGACAAGAAACGTGGGAGAGAAGAAGAAAGCGAGGAGCTTGGGTGATGTGGACGAAGAATATGCTTTTGCTGAAAAGGATGGATGAGAAGGCTTCTGAGTCTGCCGCTTGCGAATTTCCGCATTCTGGGACTGTTTTTATACGCAAAGCAAGTGAGATTTTATACGTGTGAAGATATCACACAGATGTGATGTGATGCAAAGGGCAAGTAATTTCTGGGCACAATCTTCAACGAATGCCACCCTACTTCGTTGTTTGGTGTTTACTTGCCCACGCTTTGACTTCGCCCAGGGAACATGACCACCTGCTTATATTATATTTTCACCATGCCTATTTGTCTTTGGTTTTTTACTTTCCTTTTGCAGCTCTGGATATATCCAGATTACAGCAGGGTTATTATGGGGAAATTGTATTTTCTATGATTTTTTATTTTTTTGGGTCTATGTATGGCCATTAGGTTAGGACATGACTTGTGATCCCCCTTTTGTTTGTTTGTTTTGGTTGATAAGTTTAGTTTTGGTTAAAATAAAAATTAACTTTTGTACCAAGCAATGTAAATATCCACAAACTTATTCACCAAGAAAAGGTAATAATATACCCAACAACTTAAGATCAGAGTCCTGCAAGGAAAAAGAGAGATTCGTAACCATTCCCACATGACCACCTACCTATCCTCTTTTGTCACCCCCGCATCAAATCTTTTTAAGTTGTTCATCTAACTCCTCATGTGCACTAACTTTCTCATTGAAAACAACTGATTTTCTAGATGCTGAAATGAGAGAGAACAAGAATTTACTCTGCAAACTATGTTCAACTCATTCATGATCAGAACTTTTGACGTATTTTTAAGTGTGACAAAAAGAATTTAAGTACATGATTTTTCCACGGGGAATTGGAAAAGAAGGGTGAAAGAGAACGGGACACACACAACGTGCCACAGATTTGTGTCATGCAGGCTACCAACTGAAATGTTACAAAGAGAAAATATTAAAGCATTCTTTCTAGACGATTTTAATTTCTGAACAATTTCATTATAGCTATGCCTCAACCCAGTCTTTTGATTTCTTGGATCACAAGGATGAGTCAAAATCCACATTAGCTGCTGGCAACCAATCACCGCCTTGGATCAATGACTCCACTGTGAACTTGGCTGCGTCCGTATCTGTCAGAGAAGGCTTATAACCAGCCCATTTAACCCTTTGATCCACACTTGATCCAGGCCCACTGTTTTGGTACTCTGCATAATATATAGTGTTGGGCGGCTCAACATTGGAAACCCATTCTATCCAGCCCTTTGGGTTCAAGAATGACCCAATATCAGACTGCATGAAGACTGTGGTGGAAAACTCTTTCCAAGGCCTACCCAGATATGTTGGAGCCGTGAGATTAGCAGCATCTAGAGCAGAGATTTTGCACTTTTGGATTGACATGCCAGTGTTCTGATTTGGGTCCTTTTTGCCTTGAGCTGTGATGGTGTTGAACTGGTTTGACATAGGCTGCCTCGGCATAATGTTACAGTTCTGGAATACCACAGCAGCATTGCCAAAAATGAAGTCTATGGTGCCAATGATGTCGCATTCGCGATAGAATTGTCGATTGGAATGTGCATAGAGGGTGTCTTGGTAACCAGAAAAGGAGCATTTGTAGTATACCGAGAGGTCGGAGCCAGAGCGGAATGCTACTGCTTGGTGCTTTGCTGGTCCTGCAGAGTTGATAAACCCCATGTCTTTTGCAATGAAGCCTTTTCCTGCTACGGCTGGTGATCCAATAGGTAGTCACAGTAAGAATTCAAATACTTGATATGTAAGCTTGAATGTTAAAAAGTTCTAACAGTTTGAATCAAAACAAAAGTCTCTGAGTCTGAGAACTTGAAATCTAACACAATTACTTCTGTACCAAACTTCCCTTCTTTTTTTCTCTCTACAATGGAAGGAATTAAGTGCTATGCAACATGAGCGCATGACATGCAAATATTCATCAACATAACATAAAATCAGGCAATCAATAAGAAAAAGTCAGCTCATCCACCACATGCGTCATGCAGGATAGAGGACAACACTTGCATTTCGGGTCAAGCAGGCCTTTGCTATACTTAACTTGTAATGTACATTAAATATGGAACAAATGGGTCAACCATATAAACAAGAAGCAATATATAAAGCATAATCCAGACATGCACATGGTGGGGACATCAACCGTCCACACATCACCCAGATATCCAATCTATTTTAATGGTATTCAAAGCAGCATTGATCTTTTCATAGAAATAAAAAATAAAAAGAACAAAACAATAACAGCAGTAGAAGAAGAGGATATCTAATTTTTAGGTGAGAGTTAACATTAAGATGCATAAACCATGTGGCTGGTTACTAATTAACCCTATCATACCAATATCATCAAATTCAGAAAGGCAACTTGGTGTCTAATGTCTATGGTTTCCTTCCTAGCTCCAACCTGAAGGTTTCACATGGCACATTCCCACATGGGATTTCCTTCAGTTCTCTCTACAGGGAAAGAAACTAAGATGAATTGGTAACCAACAACAGCCATGTTAAAATGGCTTGATACTTGGAAGACAGCCTAGCTAACTAGTGTTCTAGTGTTTCTGATACGCATAAAATGCCTTTGTCTCTCCTCACTGCTAGTGTCATTGTTCTATATCACAGCAAGAATGAAATCAAACTGAAATGAACAATAAATGACAGAACAAATTAAAAAACCAAATTAACAGAAGATCAAATTGAAGGTGGTAAGTAAGAATTGTTACCAAAAGTGGCTGTGGAGAAGGTGGGGGTGCCATCCACAAAGTTCAAGCTGCCATTAACAATGGTCTTATCCTTGCCATCTCCAACCATCATCACATTCCACTTGCTCTTGTCCATCAACACATTCTCATTATAAACCCCTTCCTTCACATGAATCACAAACCTGGTTGTGCTCTTCTTGGGCACAGCCTCCACAGCCTCTTTAATCGTCTTGAAGAGCCCAGTCCCATCCTTGGCCACAATCACTTGCGCAGCAGTCACGTTGTTGTCCTCCAGCAGCCTCCTATCTCCAGGGCCAACCCAACCCGGAAAACCCATCTCGGATCCTCCAACACCGAGCAACCTCCTGTGCACGGGAATGTTCAAATTCGTCAGCAGACCCAGAATTTTAGCCACAATGGCCAAGCTGTTGCTGGAGAATTCAGTCGAATTCTGCATCGCGACCTTGAATTCCTGAACAAGGGTTGAGTTGAGATCTTGCAGAGAGTCCAAACAAGTCTCTTGGTCAGTCAAGGTAGTGCTGAGCCAGGTCTTGAGGTCGTCGATTTTGGCAGCGGACAGTAGCTTCTCGCCCTGGTTCACATCCATGGAGGACAGCGAGTCGTTGAGCCGGTCAACTACATCTTCAAATAGGCTCTCGCATACGCTCAGAGTTCCATTCAGACGGGTGTCATTAGCAGCTTGCCGTCTGAATTTGGAAGGCAACCCAGCAAGCTTCGAGGCCGCGTTAATGGCGACGTGCAGAGAGAGCTTGAAAATCACTTCTGGGTCGGTGGTGTTCGAGGTCTCGAGCGAAGAGATGCTCGAGAAACACGAATTCGGGTACTGGGTCACGTCGCAAACGGCCTTGAGTGAAGCGGATGGAGTCAAAGTAGTCGTGGGGGCCGAGTTGGGAGTGGGAGACGACGAGTTGCTCCGCTTGTGTATCAATACTCCGGCGACGGCGCCGATGATCACCGCCAACAGAACAATGGTGGAGACAGTGAGGATGATGACACGCTTGCGTGCCTTCCGCCGGAAGGCTTGTTCTTCGAGCTCGTCCACTTTGCCATAGCCCTTGAAGGACTTCATAGAGTCCATTTTTGCTGTCCTTCTTCTTCTTCTGTGTTTTGCTCTGCGTTTGGTTTGATGGGTTTTGCTCAAGGAACTGAGATTTGGGGATGCTTTTGGACAAAGTGTGGGTGTGTTGAGATGTTTTTGGTTCCCCCTTTTATAAAAGTGAGGCAAAATAGAGAGATGGAAAAGACCTTTCCTTGATGCTTCTTGCTTAAGAATTTTAATTAATTATATATTTGATTGTGATCCATGATGTTTTTTCCAATAAACAATGTAATCTTTGCTTTAAATTGCCCCTTGGAATCGGTTCAATCAATATTTGTTCATTGGGTTAAATATCTTTCGAGCACTGAATTTTACATGAAATTTTAATTTAGTCGCCGAAAAAAAGCAGTTAGCCAAATTAATCATCACGGGACTATCAATTTACCTAAAAAATTTATCAAAATCCAAATCAAAAGTGACAACAAAATATTTAATCATTGTTTACTTGATTATGTTAAACTCAATTGGTATTGCCATTGGACGGGTGGGCATTCCTATCTATACATATAGATAGGAACTTGGGTGACCATTGCTATTGGAGAATGTAATTCCTTTTACCTATGCACCTAATCCGTTACCATCTGTACAACCTATCTATATAGTTTCAACCCGGACATAATTATTTATGAGTGAATCAAATATAATACACGTATCTAATATTCGACCTATCTAAATTATGTATATTTTTACTTTCTAAATTGTATGAAGTTTTCTTCTTTTTTCAAAAAAAACATCATTAGATTAAATTACTACTAAAGAGTCGGTAAGAATATAATTCAAAAACTAAGAGTCGGCTTTATATAATAAAATTCTACACACGAATCCTCACAAAGCATGGAAATGAACTTGCATGTACTACGTTTATTAACTCATTCTTTCTGTTTGTCTTCTCGCAATTGTAGGAATTAACTTGCCTATTTACGTAATGAGAGAGATCAAAATGAGAAGGTAAGAAATACGGGACAAGGAAGTCTATTTCAACGAGAGATTGTTAAGTTTATTAGTTAGCTAAAGTTAGAATAACTTTATGGTTTTATTATTTCTTAGGATGAAGATCATGATTTGATCGGATGGGAAATCTGACATGATCACAATTGATTTACCATTTCCAGAAGGTGTTTACATTGAAAGCCAGTAATCACGGTTCATTAAAAAAAAGATTATGAGCCAAATTAGACGGGCAAATCAATTTTGAGTTATTATTTGAATATTTTGGATGAATGGACGGTGGAGATGGAGTTGAATTGATAAGCATATGTTGCACTGGGCATACACGGTTTTAGTGAGAGACTGTAGGTAGATGATGAGGATGGATCCAGCTGGACATAATTTGGTTTATTTTTTGTTTTTGGTCAAATATAATTAGCTCAAAATTTCACGTAATCTCCTACATATGAAACAACAACCAGCTGCCAAATGGACCAATCAAAATCAAATCAAATTGTTAAATGGGTTCTGCTGTTTCTGCTGCCTCAACACCACCAAGCAAAACGAGTGAACCCCATTGAACTTATTCTTCGTTCATTCCCATGTACCACAACATGTCATGCATACACTATTTTTATATATGCAAAAAATTAAAGAAAGGGGTTTTATTTTTATTTTTTATTTTGATCACAAGTTCAGAAATATATTATATGGTGTAGACATTTTCAACTAGTACCAACATGAGAGGCTCTGCATTTCATAATTGGTATTGGGAAGCCGTTGCAATATGGTAGTACATCTTTTGTTCTGTTTTATTCATCGAACAATCATTTCCATCTATTTCAAACATACCAAAAGTTTACAGTGACGCATTTATTTTGTCAAACGAGAGATCCTGATTTCAAATCTCATAAACGGAAAATTTTGAACAGACATCGTTTTCTCAAACATTTTGAAACAACAATCTGAACATGTCTTGCCTTGGCTTGCCACATATTAGCACAAACACTGCTAGCTTGAGACATTAACACTTTGCAATTTATTTGGTCCTTTTCAATTGGACTCATTCTCAATTTCCTTTCTCTTATTTTTTTATTTTTTCTTCCCCTTTTTCTTTTTGGGTGGGGGATAGTGGCATATTACTAATATTCGGCAATGCCATGTGCTGATGTGAAAGGCCATACATAACACATGAAGCCGGCAATTACTCCACTAGGCCCAGTTTCTACATTTCAAATTCCAGTCATCTGATCTGACCCCTTTTCCTCTTTTCAAACAAACTACATGTTTTCCCGTTGACAATTTTATTTTCTAAATGATGGTACAAGAAAAGATAAACCAAAACGGCTAAAAGGCCCAAAACAAAACAAAGCTCTAGTGCCAGAAGACGGCTGAAACTTGGCAGCGGCTTATGTGACAACGAACTCGACTCGCAGAACCTCTTCTAACGTTGAGAAGAGATATACCATTAGTCAATCCGAACAAACAAAAATTACAAAAGATGCTTGCCAAATACCAATAAGTGCACACTTTTACAAAAATGACAAATTGGATGCTTGGCAATTATTTCTCCCCATGTAGTAAGTTGGACAATGAAACGGACAAGCTGGCCAGTGCAAATGCTTGAGTCTGGAGGAATACTCAAGCTTCTTCAGATATTATGTGATGTGAAAGGTTGGGATTCTTAAAACAGTAGTATTTATTCCCCTTTTGTTGTTGCACCAAATCCATGTGCACGCCCATCAAATTCACAATGTGAAACCCTAAACTATAACCAAAAGTCTAGCCCATGAGCAACTCAATTTGCCTAATGAGGCACCATGGGACTGCATAGCCCAAATGGTTTATTTGGACTGGAATGTACGACATGTTAGCCGATTTGACCACAATAAAAATCAACAGTCCAGAATTAATTTAAATTGTAAGGATTTGGTTCAGTTACGATCTTGAGCTTTTATAAACCGGGCCTAAATTAAGCATTATCGGTCACGTGTATAAAAAAGATTGGGCTTGTGCCTAAATTGCCCAAACCAAACCGTCCAATATTGTTTCAGTTTAGATCAATTTCTTATGTGGTTTAAAATCAAATCGAACCAAACTGTTCTATTGTAACTAACTATAATTTTGAAGACAATATCAATCCAATCCAATTGTATCAAGAACTTTGCACAACATTGCTCATAATTTCTTGGCAACATATAAGATGCTCTTATTAATTACTAACATATGGAGTTGAAGTGATGCTACAATCAAGGCCGGACAACACACTCAACCAACACCAGCTTAGCTACAATTACAAGAATACAGCACCCAACTAAAACATGCTTAATAATTAATTACAAACCAAGAGAAAATGGGAAACCAGTTGAACTCAACCAGCTACCACCAGCAATGAAGCTGCCAGGTGTGAAAGTCTGAGCCTCAGTGGCACTTGTAATTACCTTAAAGCCCTTCCAGGTCACCCTATTTGAAGTCCCAGCACCAGCCCCAGTGTTAGCATACTCTCCATAAAACAATGTGTCGAGGGCAAATGTGCCACTCCACTCATGCCACCCAGCTGGGTCGATGATATCACTTATGCTAGATTGCATGATCACAGTCCTTGAATATTCCTTCCATGGCCTCCCCAAGAATGTTTTGAAGCTGCCCTTTACAGCTTGCAGGTCAGAAGTGGCTCCAATTCTGGATTTTTGGATCACAATGCCGGTGTTTTGGTTTGGGTCGGTTCGGCCCTGGGCTGTCACCATGTTTTTCTGGCCCGAATTGGGTTTCCTTGCATGGATGTCACAGTTTTGTAGCACAACAGCAGCATTGCCAAAAATGAAATCAACTGTTCCTGCTACTAAGCAGCCTTCGAAAAATTGGCGATTCGAGTGAACGTAGAGTGAGTCTTGGTATGCAAGAATGTCAACGCGGTAGAATGCTGAGAGATCAGACCCGACTCTCAGGGCAACGGCTTGGTGCTTTGATGGACCAGCTGTGTTTTGGAAGGTTATGTCCCGGGCTATGAATTTTTCCCCAACCGCAGCTGCAAACATAAAGAATTATTCGTAAACGAGTCTAATTCAGATATCTGATATGTTATGTTGTCACGCTGTTAGATTAACGGTTTCCAAACAAATGAATGAAACCCATGTGCTCCATTTAATCTGTGAACATAATCTAGCAACGTGGATGAGTGGCGTGCAAAAGAAAGAAAATCTGTGGTCTGATTTAATGGCTGACAATTGCTCTGGTAAATGGGGACAGCAATCATCAATGACTCAGCTAGAAAACAAGCAAACAGCCAAAAGAAGTACATGGACCTGGAGCGTGCATGCATGTGTTTTCAAAGGTTGAAACAATCAAAAACAGCTCTCAGCACCCCAAAAATAAGAAAAAGAAAAAGATAATATAGACAAAGGAGAAAAAGCAAGATAATGCAAAATGATACGACTAGTTTCTACAACCATGACACATGTGCCCCATGTGAAAATAAATAAATTTTTCAGCTGGTGTCACATCCAATATTATCTATATTTCTCCAAATTCGAAAAGGATTGTTTCTTTTAAAAAATAACTCTTTTTTTAAGTAGTAAAATTGAAAAGTAAGGTGTCAATAGGGTATAACTCGATTGCTTTAGTTCTTTCACCTGCACTTATATAAGCAGAGGTTCGAAATCTCGAGACACCCAATAAATATTTGTGTAAACTCTCCTACTCAATTGCTTATATTCGAAAAAGAAATTAAAAGGTCGGGTGAAGGGTCACTTGGGTGACAGATGGTGGCTTGTGCTGACGTCCACACGAAACAGAGACAGGTTAAGTGATCAGTCAAAGATTATGGCCTAAAATTGAGTGTCGGTGAGTTAGCTAACATTAGTTTGAGTTTGAAGCCTTAATTTAGGACTTAAATTCACCATGATTGATGGAAGCAACATTAAAAAAAACAAAGTAGAAGGAAGCATCTGAGAAGGATCCTACTAGGAGGATATGCGAACAAAAAAATGAGACAAAATGTCTTGGGTTAGATTTATTTATTAAAAAGAGACTAAAAAGTCATATTAAGCACAAAAAGTTGAAAGAGAAAGGGGCCTGGGCCTAGCTGTGAACCACAACAACCATTCATCAAATACAGACATAGACATGACGAGAGAAACATTTCAAATTGCAGCAAATGACATATATCTGAAATTTAGAAACCTATTTTAGGAGAAATTATTTCTTTCTTTTTCTCCTTCTTTTTGTTTATGAACCTAACAAAAACATTATTATTAAAAATAAAAATAAAAACCAACGAATGAATGGAAACT